ACCACTCACTGCAGCCAGGGCAACAGAGTGAGACTACATGTCAGGGGAAAAAAAAAAAAGCAAACGGGATTGCTAGACCTGGTGGTAATTCTTTTTAATTCTTTGCACAATCAGCATACTGTTTTTCCAACGCTGCTGTGCCATTTTACATTCCCACCAACAATGCACAAACTTCCCTAATTTCTCCACATCCTTGCCAATACTATTTGTTTTCCTCTTTTTGTTTTTGGTTTTTATGTGTTTGTTTGATAATAGCCATCTAAGGGGTGGAGCCTAGAAGCAATTGAACTCAAAAGTCATTGCACCTTTCCATTTGCATGCCTCGATCGTCAGGGACGGGATATATAGACCCCACCTGTGACCCCGACATCTGATTCCTCTGCCTCCTGCTTCCCTCGCCCACCCAGCTGGCCCCGCCCCACTGCGGCCACGCCTCCCTCCCTTCTCTCCCACCTGCTCCCCATTCTGCAATGACACTGAAATCCAGACGCCCACAGACCCAGGTGGTGGCAGAACTCCTGGAGAAGGAAGCAGCCGGCCAGCCAGGGTCATTCTCGGTGAGGCGGCACCCAAGGTACATTGTTCATCTTTCCCCATCTCACTCCCACTGCCTGAACCTTTCTGGGAGCCTCCTCTTCCCTTTAGTTGTTGCCAGGGTCACCTGCAGGCTGCACAAGTGCAAGACCTTTCTCAGTCCAAGTCAGAGGAATGTTCTGTGTCCCTAGCCCTCGGGTCTGCCTTATCTCAGTTCACAGGCCTACCCTATGATCCCCTCCTCACTCTGTCTTAGACTCTTCTCACCTTTCCCTTGGCCAGCTCCCAAGCGTAGCAGGGGTGCTTGTTTAAAAAGCTCAGATTGACTCTGGCTCTACCTCAGTCTCTCTCTCTCTCTTTTTTTTTCTTTTCTTTTTTTTTTTTTTTTGAGATGGCATTGCACTCTGTCGCCCAGGCTGGAGCACAGTGGCATAATCTCAGCTCACTGCAACCTACACCTAGTGGGTTCAAGCGATTCTCCTGCCTCAGCTTCCTGAGTAGCTGGGATTACAGGGGTCTGCCACCACACACAGCTAATTTTTATATTTTTAGTAGAGACGGGGTTTCCTCATGTTGGCCACGCTGGTCTCAAACTCCTGACTTTAAGTGATCCAGCCAACTTGGTCTCCCAAAGTGCTGGGATTACAGGTGTGAGGCACAGTGCCTGGCCATGCCTCAGAATCCCAGATGGATCTGGAGAGCTAGATCTTTTTTTTTTTTTTAAGACAGGGGTCTCATTATGTTGCCCAGGCTGGAGTGCAGTGGCACTATCACAGCCCACTGTAGCTTCAACCTCCCAGGCTCAAGTTATCCTCCCACCTCAGCCTCCCCAGTAGCTGGAACTACAGGTACACGCCACCATGACCACCTGATTTTCTAATTTATTATTTGTAGAGATGGGGTCTCGCTATGTCTCCCATGGTGGTCTCCAACTCCTGGGCTCAAGCTATCCTCCTGCCTTGGCCTCCCAAAGTGCTGGGATTACAGGTACGAGCCACTGCACCTGGCCAAGATGGGGTCTTGCTATGTTGCCCAGGCTGAGATCTAGATCTTAAAAGGCCCCAGGAGATATTGGTAGTCTATAAGTTTGACCACATTTCTGTGGTTACCAGAGATGCTAGTCAATGATGGAAGGTGGGAAGCACCCCCTGGAGAAGATCAGAGATGCTTCCACCTGTCGGGGTCACTTATCCCACAGGAGGAAGCCTGGGCAGCCTTGGGGTCAGAGAATGTGGGTCCTAGAGATGAGCCTGCTTGTCCCTCTCCTGAGAGTGTTTGCTTGTGTCCTGTGGCAAACTGTGGGTGGTTGTGGAAGATGCTGGACAGGTTCTCATGGACTGGACACCCCTTGGGGATGACCCAGCCTGGCTCTTTGGCTGCTGTTGGATTTGCCCACATTTCAGCCACCAGTGAGATCTCTGTCCTGCTTCCCCTGGACTCTTGAGGGTTTTGATTCCAGAGACCAGAGGTCCAGCATCTACACCCATAGGATCAACAGTAACACAACCAGCATCCTCCAAAGGAGGCGATGCTCGGCTCCACCACCTCATCCCCTACTTCTGATCCATCTTATTCCTTTCCCTGAACTTCCACTGACCGCCCATTATGACCCTACACTAAGCCATTACAGTGCCATGGAGGGGCAGGGAGACCTACAGATCTGGGGTTAAATCCCTGTCACGTAACCTTGGAGAGTTTTTGTTCCTATATAAACCAGCAAACAGATGGTGTCAGCTGAGCCCTCTGAGATGTGATAAGAGACCGTGGGGAAGCACAGTGTCATTTGAATCCCATCTCTACTCTTTCCTAATCATGCCTAGGCTACCTAGCCTCTCTGAGCCTGTTTTCTCTTCTGTAAAATGGGGATGTATTTATTGTCTACGGCTGCTGTGAGAATCCCCACAAACTTAGTGGCTTAAAACAATACAAATTTATCATCCTACAGTTCTGGAGGTCAGAAGCCCAACATGCGTCTCCCCGGGCTAAAATCAAGGTGTCAGTGGGTGGGGCTGTGGTCCTTCTGGAGGCTCTAGGGGAAAGAATCCATTCTCTTGCCTTTTCCAGCATCTAGAGGCCCTGTTCCATCCTCATAGCATCTTTAAATCTGACACTGACTCTCCTGCCTCCCTCCTTTACCCATAGGACCCTTATGATTACATTGGCCTACCTTGATAACCTGGGGTAATCCTCCACCTTTTTTTTTTTTTTTTTTTTTGAAACAGTGTCTTGCTCTGTCACCCGGCCTAGAGTGCGGTGGTGCAATCACAGCTCACTGTAGGTTCGATCTCCTGGACTCAAGTGATTCTCCTGCCTCAGCCTCCTGAGTAGCTGAGATTACAGGCGTGCACCACCCTGCTTGGCTACTCCTTTATTTTTTTTTGTAAAGATGGAGTCTTAGTATATTGCCCAGGCTGGTCTCAAACTCCTGGGCTCAGGCAACCCATCTGCCTCAGCCTCCCAAAGTGCTGGGATTACAGGTGTGAGCCACCACACCCGGCAATTCCCCCTATTTTAAGACAGCTGATTAGCAACCATAATTGCATCTGCATCTTTTATTCCCACTTGCCTGATAACATATTCGCAGGTTCCAGGGATTAGGACTGAGGAGGAAAATAAAGATAGATTGTGTCCCGGTATACACTGCAGGGAATAAGCCCCCTATACATGCTAGCGAATGCTGTTACTATTTTTGTTGTTAGAATGTGGGTGATTTCTCATAGAAGGGGAAGAAAAGCTTTAGAAACATGATCTCGAAGCCTCAGTTTCCTCCTCTGGGAAATGGGAACATCCCACTGGTTGTGCAGGCTGTGGTGGGTTCCAGGGAGATGCTGCCTGACTGTGTTGAACTCCGTGCAGCACACAGCAGGTACTTACATGACGGCAGTTTGTGTTTTTCTCCTATTAGTTGCTCGGCCCCGGAAGGAGCCTCATTTCCCTCATGTCTCCTGCATGCTTTCTTCTGGTGTCATCATGGCTGGGTGGCACTCTGGCTGTGCACACCGTGCATTGGTGGCACTCTGGCTGTGACCAGAGCTCTGCCTAGAGCTTGTGACCCGGGCACTTTTGCCTGGACTCTGCACACCTGACTCCCACTTGTCCATGGTCAGGAACAGAAGTCAGACTCAGCTGTGGCTCCCAGCCCTTTCCTGGTGGTGATGCAGTGGCTGGGGCTCCATTCTTGCAGCTGAGCACCCCAGGAGATGGAGGGTGCCCCTGTCCCCTAGCTCCTGCAAAGTCCCTGGGGGATGCTCATCGGCTGTGAACACCATGGCCTAGGTCACTTGTTCCTCACTTCAGCCAATTTCAGAGGGTGGCTGGGGGCTGTGATGCTTTTGGCCAGCCTGGGTTCACAGGGTCATTTGGGAGCCAAGCCAAGGAGAGGGTGGCACAGGTGCTGGGCAGAGGAAGCCAGGGCTGCTGCAGGCACCCTCTCCCTACCCCGAGCCTGGCCTCCACCAAGCACTTCCTGACACCACCCACAGCCCATCCTCCCAGACATACTTCGTCACTCATAAAACGCTGCCTGTGCACGAATCTGGTCTCCTCTGAGGCTGCAGGCCACTTCCTGGGTGGGCTTAAGAGTTAGACTCCTGCCTGTAATCCTAGCACTTTGGGAGGCTGAGGCAGGCAGATCACAAGATCAAGAGATTGAGACCATCCTGGCCAACATGGTGAAACCCTGTCTTTACTAAAAATACAAAAATTAGCTGGGTGTGGCGGCGTTGCCTGTAGTCCCAGCTACTCGGGAGGCTGAGGCAGAAGAATCGCTTGAATCCGGGAGGCCGAGGTTGCAGTGAACCAAAATTGCACCACTGCACTCCAGTCTGGTGACAGAGTGAGACTCTGTCTGAAAAAATAAAAAGAGTTAGACTCTCAATTAATATATAATTTGCCTGTTATATCTTGGACAGCAAGTCACCTGCTTTATTCCCCTGAGCCTCAGTTTCTTCATCTGTGACATGGGTGTAGTAACAAATCAGACATGCTTACTACGGCTGTTGTGAGGACCAAATGAGCTAATTGACAGCAGTGACTAGTACGGGGCCTAGCATATAGCAGGTGCTGGAAGGGGTGCGTCCGTTTCCATCTTGTCTTTTCTGACATGGGTACACACCTGAGCTGTGCTGCTGGGCTCCAGGACACACTCAGTCAGCCCTACTTCTCCAAGCCTCTGCTTTCTGTGTGGTAAATGGCATTCGTGATCCCTGCCTGAAATGATGCCTGTCAAGCGCCAGTTCTCAGGGACAGTAAATGGAGGCCGTGCTCATTGTAACCTGCATGACAAACTCCCCCCAGCTTCTGGCGCGATGGGAACTTGGTGTCAGAATGCCTGGGTCTGGTGTGCAGTGGTGTCACCTCTCTGGGCCTCAATTTCCCCATCTGTAAATGGGACCTCACCTGTAAGGGATGAGTGAGTAGTGTCATTATCCTTTATCTCCCTTTGACCTTCTCACAAGCCACAGAGCTGCCGTTCAGCCTTTATTGATAGAAGACATTTACTCAATTCTACACTGACAGTCTTGATGTTACTCAAACACGGAGTCTTCATGAATAACAATTTCAACACCTTATCGGGGGCCATGTCACACAAAGCAGATGACAGTGCAGGTTGGACGGGTAGCACTGGGATTGTGTCTAAGGGTGGTGGATGCTCGGTGGAAAGTTCCAGAACTAGGAAAAACTTAAAGCTCTCCCTTCAAGGCGGGGCTTAATGCCAAAGCTCCCAGGCAGCTGGCTGAGCTGTTGATGAAACAGAACATCCTGGCTCTAGGGTTCAGGAACTCCCAGACACAGTCAACATCCATCTGGTGGAAAGAGGGGGATGGTGCGTGAGGCTGCAGCTTCTCCAGTTTTGTCTCAGCTTTGCTGGGAGAGCATTTTTCACAATTGACTAGCTCACTCACCTGTCTCTCCTTTAACCCAGCTATCTGAGGAACTTGCCACTTGGGGAGTCAGTAATTAGCAAGGAGAGAAAAAGAAACATAAAAACAGCTGTGGGACAAAGGGAGGTGAGGAAGTGCCAATAAATATGCATCGAAGTTTTGTCCACCACTCGCCACGTGGTTCGAGCTTTACATGGTTCAGCTGGCTTTCATTCCCTCAGGAGAGTCTTAAATCCCAGTACAAAAGCACCCTCCTCCAGTTCCTCCCTCTCCCATTGCATTTTCCCCTTTGAAAGCCCCCCAAGCCCCCAAACAATGGCACCGCCTCTCTTAGGTACATGCAAGAAGAGATGTGAATCATGAACAGGTGGAAAAATATCTGGTCTCTAATATGGAAAAAATAGGATGGTTCACAGTATCAACAGTGCTTGCTGGTTCTAAAAAGTAGCCCCAGGCTGCCAAGGGAATACGAGCCAGTTAGAGATGTCATTCTCTGGCCTGTAGGAGTTAGGATGGCTGGGAGGTAGGGAGGGAGGAGGAGTCTCATTCCAGAGGCCTCGGGCTGGGTTTAAAGAAGTGGGGTGGATGGGCCACAATAAATATAAATAAATTTACACCTGGTCACGGTACCCGGCATGGCCCAGGAATCTGCTCTAATAAAATTCTAATAGACTATTGGAAAGGTGGGGCTGAAGGCCACCTGGACTGGCTCCCATTTCAGAGTTCAGCTTGTCCTATCCAAGAGAGAGAGGCTCAAGGTTCTCTGGCTCCATTTCCTGCTCTGGGCCTGGCCCCTGGAGGCTACGGCTGAGGTTTGATCCACTCAGCCATTTCCCATGAGGATGAATTCAAGGGCTTTCACCCCAGGGTGTCTCCTCAATGCACAAAGGTGTCCCAAAATGGGGTGCAGGTCATTGAGGTCACCCAGCCAGGATCCAGGATGGAGAAGTGTCACTCAACATGGCCAGGCGTTACAGCTCAGGCCTTGGAGGAGTGTCAAGGAGTCGGGGGACGCTGGGTTGCTTGTCCGCCCTCCTCCATCCTTCTGACTTGGAAGAGCCCCCAGAAACTGTCCCGGAAGCTCCAGTGGGAGGCACGAGGAAGAGAGGGGCTGCTGAGGGGAACCGCTTCCCTGTCCAGCCAGCAATTTCGCCACAGGTTTAGGAGAGGCTTCGGGGACCATGAGGGACCTGCCTTCTGGGAACACCCTGATCCAGTCAGTTCTCTGCCCAAGCCGGGTGCCGGGGTTCCGGGGCAGGTAAGGCTGACAGCTCAAAGCAGGGCTATGGGCTTGTTCCCCTGTGCACCCAGGTACTGGGAGGAGGAGCTGGTGCCTGAGGCGGCCACACTGTCCGGAGTGGAGTACGCTGTGTAGAGACCCGTCACCTGCAAGTCTGGGAAGGACTGGTCGCTGCCACCCGAGGCAGGGGTCAGACCTGAGGCCCCCAGGTCACAGCCAAGTGGGGAGTCTCCGAAGGCGCCCAGCGTGTCCAGGCTGAATCCCTCATCCTTCATCTCATCCCACAGGTTCCCTTTCAAAGACAAAAGCATTAGGGTGAGCTGGCTTCACATCAAACAACCCGAGTTCGAATCCCCCATCTTAGGGAAGAGGCAGAGACCATGTGTGGCGTCTAAGGTCATGTGTTGTAGAAAAAGGGCATGGGGCCGGGCATGGTGGCTCACGCCTGTAATCCCAGCACTTTGGGAAGCCGAGGTGGGTGGGTCACTTGAGGCCAGGAGTTCAACACCAGCTGGCCAACATGGCGAAATCCCATCTCTACTGAAAATATAAAAATTAGCCTGGCCTGGTAGCACACACCTGTAATCCCAGCTACTTGGGAGGCTGAGGCACAAGCATCACTTGAACCCAGGAGGTGGAGGTTGCAGTGAGCCGAGATCGTGCTATTGCACTACAGTCTGGGTGACAGCGAGACTCCACCTCAAAAAAAAACAAAAAACAATAAAACCATGGAAGGGCCAGAGTTGTAGCCCTGGACCTTCACCTTCCCACCGAATGTCTTTGGGACACTTCCATCTCAGAACTTCAGAATAAGATGGAGATGATCAGGGAATCCAGCTCCTAAGGCTGTGGCAAGGGTTAAACAAGAGGACTTGTGGAAACATTTAGTTCTCATGATATCATTATGGTCAAAGCCAGGGGGACAAGACAATGCTTCCCTTTCTTCAGCACATTGAACTACACAGCAATCCAGGGAGAGAAAGGCAGAGGTGCAAATATACCGCCTCACAGCTGCAGCTGACTTGCCACCTGTCCATGTCCCTCGCTAGAGGCAGAACTCGGGACAGAGGCTGTCTCCACCCTTGGCTGAAACATAAGAGCTGCACCGGTGCTAGTGAGTGGATGAAGTGTGAGCCTTCACTGAAACCGGAAATTCCCCTGTTCGTTCATTCATCACATCCCATTTATCAGAGATGATCATGAGGCAGGCAGCAGGTCAGAGGGTGACCTGGCATGGGGGTGGCACATGGGAGTTGAAGCAGTTACTGATGAAAACTTTGGGGCCAGACAGACTGAGGTTAACTCCAGGCTCTGCCACTTACTAGCCAGGTGACCTTGGGTGAGTGACTTCACTTCTCTCTGCCTCAGTTTCCTCATCGGCAGAACAGAAATGTGGATGGTGGTGACCTCAGGTGATGCCTGTGGAATGCTCTGGCCTGGTATACAGCAAATGCTCATTTCCTGTTGGCTGCCATTGGCTATAACAGGCTGAACAACCCTAACCCAACCAAACATCTGAAACCTGAACTGCTCCAACGAGCATGACCTTTGAGTGTCTTGTCAGGGATCAAAAATTTTCGAATTTTGGAGCATTTTGGATTTCCGGATCAGGGATGTTCAACTTGTAAAGGTTGTTGCTATGGGAACGAGACTGTGGGGCAAATGTAGGCAGCACAGTCCTCTCCCTCATTCCCTTTGGCCCCCGGGCCTCTCCCCTCCCCATTCCATTCCCATCACTCCATTCCTCTGGCCTCACCCTGCAGCGCGAAGTCCATGATGCTCGGGTCAAGGGCATCCACCTCAGTGTTCATGTCGGTGCTGATGTTGATGAAGTCTACAGGAGCCCTTCCCATGGCGGGGTGGGGGAGCGGGCTGGGGCTGAGGTCCGGCAGGGCATGCAGCGGCGGGGTCTGGGCTGGTGCTGGAGAGTCTGGAGCAAGATGTGCCTGGGGCTGGACCTGGTGGTGCAGGGGGACTGACTGCAGGGACAGGGTCATCAGTGGCTGGGGTGGGAGCTGGGAGACAGCCAGGCAGCCGTGTGCCACGGCCACTGTGGTGGCATGAGTCAGCACAGGGGCCTCTGGTTCCCCCGGTTTGCCGGGGCGCCGGCAGCTTTCAGGCCGGTCGGAGATCAGCTTGTCCAACTCCTCTGCAGGCAAGTGGGAGAGGTCACTCAGAACCCACCCAGCAGTTACCGGGCCCCAGCCCAGGCCTGGGTTCAAATTCCAGTGTCACCACCTGTGTGACCTTAGCAAGCCTCTTGGACACTCTGAACCTCTGTCTCCTCACCTATGAAATGACATAGGCATCATCTCATCTCACAACTTACATTGCCACCCACTGTAAATGAAGGTGTCTATTAAATACTTCTCCACATCCTAGCCCATGCTGGGTGTTAAGATTTTATTATTTTAAACATCTCTGCCCATCTAGCAAGACATCATACACTCTGCACAGGGTTGTCGTGGAGATGTAACAAAATCACAAATTGTGCAGAATCTTTGAGGAATAAGAGATGAATCAAACGCTGGGCTCATGCCTGTAATCCCAGTGCTTTGGGAAGCTGAAGCAGGAGGACAGCTTGAGGTCAGGAGTTCAAGATTCGCCTGAACAACATAGTAAGATACCATCTCTACAAAAAATAAAAAATCTTAGCTGGGCGTGGTGGTGTGTGTCTGTAGTACCAGTTACTTGGGAGGCTGAGGTGGGGGGATCACTTGAGCCCAGGAGGTTGAGGCTGCAGTTCAGACTTAATTGCACTACTGTACTCCAGCCTGGGTGACAGAGCAAGACCCTGTCTTTAAAAGAAATGTCATCAGATAATAACATTAGCCCCTTTCATCAGGATAGTGCCTTACAGGACAGCCCTGTAACCCTAGAGCTTCATTTAAATCTCCTAACAGCCCTGCAAGGAGGTAAGGCCATGATTACAAATCCCGTAAGACAGGGACAAAATGTATTTACATGCAAGGGGCCCTGGCCACTCCCTGCTACCAAAGAGACATTAAGAAGTGTTGCCGTGGGTTAAAAATCCTTAATACTCTTGGGTATAAACAAGTAAAGACAAATTACTCTCAAATTATTTTTGGTTATTGGTTATGTCTTGTTGAGTGCAACACAGGGTTGAGAGTAGACAGGGTCCCAAGATCTATCTGGGTTGCACCCATTTTAGGAATGAGAACACTTAGAATCTAGAAGGCAGAATAACTTGCCCAAGACTTCACTCCAAATATGTGTCAGTACTGGCCCTGGGTCTCAAGCCAGACCCCAGAGCTTTTGGTGGGCTGGGTGCGATGTGATACCCCCTCAACTGAGGGACCATTGGCTCCTGCTATAGCCCTTCTTCCTGCCTTGAGTTGTTCACCCCCAAGCCACACACTCAGCCCCATTCCTACCCAACACGGTGATACCCAACAGACTCTGGCCATACTCCGAGGGCTGGGGCAGAGTTAGCCTCCACGTCACAGTCCCCATGCATATGTCCCTTGGATGGCCCCACCTCATATCCATTAATTTTTTTTTTTTAAAGCAGATGCAATCCTTTTTCTAATTAGGAACAGGATAGAAGTTTTGGAGAATACAGAAATATGTGAAAAATACAAAAGTTATCAATGGTCTCTCCATTCACAGTAAAGATTTTGGTGTACTTCTCAAACATACAAGCATAGTTATTCTCTCTCTCTCTCATACATACATACATTTTTGGGAGGCAAATCAATATGGATATATATGTATTTTAAAATGTGATCTTGCTGTGGATATTGATATATAACCTGCCCCTTTTCACTTATTGAGAACATTTTTTTCTTTTTGGACGGATTTTTGTTCTGTCACCTAGGCTGGAGTGCAGTGGCTTGATCTCAGGTCACTGCAACCTCCGCCTCCCGGGTTCAAGTGATTCTCCTGCCTCAGCCTCCCGAGTAGCTGGGATTACAGGTGCCTGTCACCATGCCCAGCTAATTTTTATATTTTTAGTAGAGATGGGGTTTCACCATGTTGGCCAGGATGGTCTTGAACTCCTGACCTTAGGTGATCCGCCCGCCTCGGCCTCCCATAGTGCTGGAGTTATGGGCATGAGCCACCATGCCCGGCCTAACATTTCTTTATATTCCAAAAATATTTAAAAATATTTCTCATCTCTAATACTTGCAAGGTATGTCATTCTATTTATTTAACCAACCCCCTCTTGTGAGATGTCTGGACTGCTTTCTATGTTTCACTCTTAGAAATAATTTTGTGATGGATAACTTTGTTCGTAAACCTTTTGCTCAAATCTTTGCTCTTCACAATACACATTGTCAGAAGTAGAATAATTGGACCAATCCATGGGTACCATTTGCAGGTGTTTGATATATTAGCTTTCCCTCAAAAAGTGTAACAGCTTAAATTCCTATCCATTGTATACGAAGCTGTCTATGTTTCCACATCCTAGTCCACACTGCGTGTTATTATTTTAAACATCTCTGCCAATGTGGTAGGAAAGCAATGTTTATCCCATGGTTGTGTAGTTTGACATTTCTGGGCAAGACACTATGGATGACAAGTGAGATCCAACAGCTTTTTTCTGTTTCTGATCAGGCCCCTCAATTACTTCCGCCACTGGATAGGGCTGGGGAGGGAGAGGTCAATTTCACAGGAGGGAGGTTTGCCAGACTCCTGTCTTCCCATCATCGTATCTGAGAAGTGTTACAGACTGGGTAGTGCATAGGCAGAGCTGGGGCTGGGCTGGGAGGAGGGGCGTGTGGTGTGTATGTGTGCGTGCATGCGTGCGTGCATGTGTGCGCACACTGGGGGCTGTCCGGGCCCCTTGGCCATGCTCTGGTGGATGGCGACCAGGTGCTTCCTCTTCCACTTGTGTGTGTGCATTTGTGTGTGCACGCTTTGGGCTGTCCAGGCCTCACCAGGGTTGGCCATGTCCTTCCTTTTCCACATGTGTGTACGTGTGTGCATGTGCATGTGTGTGTGTGCGCACGCATGCTGTGGGCTGTCCGGGCTGCACCAGGGTTGGCCGTGCTCTGGTGGATGGCGGCCAGGTCCTTCCTCTTCCGTGTGTGTGCACATGTGTGTGTGTGTGCATCTGGACCTCACCAGGGTTGGCCACGCTCCAGTGGATGGCGGCCAGGTCTTTCCTCTTCTGTGTGTGTGCATGTTTGTACATGTGTGTGTGTGCATTTGTGTGTGTGTGCACACGCTGCAGGCTGTCCGGGCCTCACCAGGGTTGGCCATGCTCCAGTGGATGCCAGCCAGGTCCTTCCTCTTCTGCGTGTGTGTGTGCACGCACGTGTGCATTTGTGTGCATGCACGCTGCAGGCTGTCTGGGCCTCACCGGGATTGGCCATGCTCCAGTGGATGGTGGCCAGGTCCTTCCTCTTCTGTGTATGTGTGCATGTTTGTGTGCACAGGTGTGTGAATGCATTTGTGTGTATGTGCGCGCGTGTATTTGTGTGCGTGCACATGTGTGCATCCAGGCTTCACCGGGGTTGGCCATGCTCCGGTGGATGGCAGCCAGGTCCTTCCTCCTTCCTCTTCCTCCATGTGCATGTGCATGTGCATTTGTGTGTGTGTGTGTGTGTGCGCGCAAGGGCGCTTGTGGGCTGTCCGGCTCCACCGGGTTGGCCATGCGCTGGTGAATGTCAGCCAGGTCCTTCCTCTTCCATGTATGTGTGCGTGTGCATTTGTGTGTGTGTGTGTGTGTGTGTGCGCGCTGTGGCTGTCCGGCTCACCGGGTTGGCCATGCTCCGGTGGATGGCAGCCAGGTCCTTCCTCTTCCACTTGTGCATCTCCTCCTCCATCTTGTCAATGCGGGCCAGGTTCAGAGCCCACAGGCAGCCCTTGCGGGACGAGCCGCTCATCTTGTTCTCCACCTTCTCGAAGCACTTGTTCAGAGACAGGTTGTGCCGCACCGAGTTCTTCCACCCGTCGGGAGCCGTCTATGAAGAGACATCGGCATTCAGAGGCCTCCCTGTAAGCCCTTCCTCCTACCCCGGGGATCTCCTACTCAGGCCCATAGCGGCAGGACATCGCGGTGGCAGGAGTAATTTGACAGTGACTGACAGCCTCAAGTTGGAGAGACAAGAGAGAGTGCTGGGGACGGAGGCCAGCTGGTGTGGCCATGCCCTGATGAGAGGGGAAGTACAATTCAGCTCCGGCCAACTGTTACTATAGGAGGATGCAGCCTGGCCTGCTGGATATTCCATACTCTCTCTCCCACTGAGGAAGCAAGCAAAGAAGAATGATGCCAATAAATGGATAACTGGTCAAGTGTATTCAATGCAAATTTACTTTTTGAGACAGGGTCTTGCTCTGTCACCCAGGCTAGAGTACAGTGGTGTGATCACAACTCACTACAACCTCGACCTCCTGGGATCAAACAGTCCTCCCACCTCAGCCCCCCAAGTAGCTGGGACTACAGGTGTGCACCACCAGCAAATTATTTTTAAATGCTAGATAACCAGATATCACAATGCATCTCACACCACACATGTACATGTACTCACACACACTGTACTGCAGTATTTTTGCTAAGGACACTGTCCAGGCCAGGGACCCTACAGCTTGGTGTACCCTCTAACTTCCTGCTCCACTTTTTGCTTTGATGCTAACAAGGATAACATGACTAGTGGCCAACCCTATGCCAGAAGCTGCCAGACCCTTATCCGCAGGATCCTCACTGACCTTGCCAGCTTGGGATGATTCTCCACACCTGACATATGAGTATACTGAGGCTCAGAGGTGAAGGCTCTTGCCAGTTCCGTTGTTTTGCATCATTATGTTGTACTGAATCCGTGCTGAGTAACTAGTCTGGTGCCTCTACCCTTTTCTCCTTGGGATGCCTAATGAACTCCTCTTCATCTGTCAGAGCCCAGTTCAAATGCCCCCTCTCTTTCTGACTTTCTTCTATGTGAGTGTATGTGCACATGTCCTAATCACCAGATATACAGAATAACTGGGAACCAAAGAGGGTTGGCCCAGGGCCCGCCCTGGATTCTGGCAGCACCAGGCAGCTCCAGCACCCCTACCCTGGCTTGGGACCCCTCACCTTGAAGTAGGGGAAGTGCTCCTTCATGAAGCTGTAGATCTCACTCACAGGCAGGCTGCCCGTCTTGCTGTTCTTCAGGGCCATGGCGATCAGACAGCTGGGGGCAGGAGGTGGGGCAGGGCAGGGCAGGCCAGGCGTGAAGGGGTCTCAGGCTGACAGCCCAGTGCCTCTTCTGCCAGGAAGCCTGCCCTGCTTGACCCTACACACTCACACACAGTGAGCTCTCAATACCATTTCATGGCCCGATGTCTTTCCCACCCTTTGCCCTTTCTCCTTGACCTTGGGCTCAACCATTGGTACTGACTTGAGAAATCTTACCCTTTCCCCTCTTCATGGCATCCCCATAATTTTAATGACTATGAGCCTTTAGACTTTCCCTAGGTTGTTTCCCCTTCCCCAAACTCCCGTGAGGTATACAATACTATTATTTTGATGACTTTTTACATTTGGGGAAATCAAGGCTCAGAGAGGCCACGCCACTTCCTCAAGGCCACACAGCTTGTGAATGAAGTGAACTGTGGCACTGGATTCAGGTCTGCAGTGGGCTCTTGACCTGGGGGACCCTATGATGCTCCTTCCTGAGAACAAGTCCCACCTGGGGGTTCCCCACTCCCCAAAACCTCCCTCTTGGAAGTCTGGGCTGCCACACGTAGCTGTCTGAGATGCCCTGAGCGCAGCCTCATCCCTCTCCTCCCGGAGCCGCCCTCGGCCCTGACCCGGCCCACCCTGGACCTCACCTGTACGAGTAGATGGGCTTGGGGTAGTGTTTGGGGTGCAGTTCCTGAGACGAATGCACAGCCATGTGGGGCTGGGGGTAGGGGGGCCGTACCCCAAATGGGGGGCCATAGAGGCCCACAGGAGGGCACTTCCCACAGGCAGGGGCAGGGAGAAAGTGGCAGAGAGAGAGAGAGAAGGTGAGAAAGAACATACGTCACTCACAGTAACCCTGTCCCAACCCTAGTTTCCAAACGCCTCGTGTGGGGATTCACAGCCGTCCAGGAAACAATCTTGTCTCCGCTCAGGGCAGGAGTTTTGGGGGAACAGAATGAATGACCCCATGACCTGAGCATGGGGGCGAATGTTATTCCCATGTTCTGGGTGAGTAAACTGAGGCTCAGAGAGGTCCCTGGCCAGCCCAAGGCAGGGTGTCTGCTGCTGAGTCCAGGGCTCCCCTGAGCCCTTGGTACCTGCTGGGCACCCGGGGGGAGCGGGAACTGTGGTTGGGTGGCAGGTGAGTACAGATGCGGCGGGTCTTGCAGGCCAGATGAGGACTGGCCCCCCACGGGGAACTGGCTCATCTGCTGGACGGGAAGAGGAGGAGACAGAGGGTCAGAGTGGGGGTGGGCACCCAGTCTGGAGGGCACTGCCCACCCTTCGCAGTCCATGCAGTGGTACTTACGCTGTCTCCATGGCCAGTGATGGGGCCCAGACCTGGCATGCCTCCGGGGGCCATGCCTGCTGGGCCATGGAGAAGGGGACTTGGAGTGGCTCCCACATGCAGGTCGGCTGCCCCAGCCAAGGCACCTGCAGGAGAGAAGCACAGAGACGCTGCTGGGCCAGAGGAATGGTGGCTGCCACCAGGAACGGCCCAGTGCCCAGGTGTCTCCAGAGAATGGAGCCAGCCCCTTTCCTCAGACCAGGCACAGAGTAGGTGCTTGGCAAATCACTTCCCTGGTATGTAGTGAAAAGTAGGTTCTTACGTGCTATACAACCTTAGGTCAGCCTCAGCTTTCCCATTCGTACTTGAACTACTGATACCCCTAACTATAAATTTGCTGTGAGGGTTAAATGAGATAATGTCTATCAAGTGCTTAGCACATTACTGGGCACATAATACCTCAATAAACATGAGTCAATAATAAATGATAATCATGATGATGTAATAGCTTAGTTCCTGTCCTTCATGAAGCTAAAACACTAATTCACTGTTCATTTCTTTTTCTCAAAAACATGCCATGGCTTCTGAGTGCCTCTAGGTTTAGGTCCAAAATGGCTTTGTGCCTTCTCTCCCCTTTGCCAAGCCCTGCTCCTCCACACAGGATGAGAATAGCAGACATACTTCCCCCATCTTGTGCTGGGCTTGTGACAGACATTGCTAATCTATCACAGATTCTTACTCCACTAGGCTGATTTTAGGCAACCACCTCCAACCAAGCAAAGTTGACCTGCAGGATGGTCTTGCCCTAGGGGCACCTCTTCCAGGAAACCCTATGGGTCCTTCTCTCCTCTGAGTTCTGGCTGTCACCGTCCCTAGATCTGTTTGTCTTGTCCTTCTCTCTCTGACCAGATCGTCAGCTCCCTAAGAATTGGGACCACATCTTCTATCACTCATTGCTCCAAATGCCTGGCACAGTAATAGGCCCACAGAAAGTACCCAGCAGCCACAGTGAAGAAAGAGGCATCCTTATTTCACCATTTATTAAACACCTCCTGCGTTCAAGGCACTCTGCATCGAATCCTCACAATGTCCCATGCAGGCAGTTCTGTTACACTTTTGCTGCAGATGTGGAAACTGGTCAGGGCAGAAAGCACTTGGCTGAGATCACACAGCTGTCCCCTGGGGGTTCTAGATCAGGGATTGGCAAACTGGCAGCCAAACTCTGGCCCAGAGCCTGTTTTTGTAAATAAAGTTTTACTGGCACAGAGTTGCACTGATTCATTTACATATTGTCTGCGGCTGGTTTTGTGTTATAATGGCACAGTTGAATCGTTTTGACAGATCAGATGACCTACAAAATCTAAAATATTGACTACCTGGCCCTTGACAGAAAGTTTGCTGACCCCTGCTATACATGCTTTGCCCAAGAACAATTTGCCCAATGAAACAAATAATCCCAGACAAGTATTTTTCAACCACTGGTACTTTTAATATACTGTTGTTTATTGTTTTGTCACTGTTTTGCTTTTCTTCCATACTTTCTGTGTCTCTAAGCATTTTATCCATTGCCTGTGATTGCAGCTAACTGCCATTAGCTGCAACTAGCTGCCATTTATTGAGTATCTACTGTGTGCCAGACCCTACACTCAGTACTTCCACATATTATCTCTTGGAATCCTCTTGATCAGGGGGAAGCAAACTTCTTTTGTGAAGGGCCAGATGGCAAATATTTTAGGCTTTGCCAGCCAGATGGTCTCTGTGTTTTTACAACCCTTGGAAAATGTAAAATCCATTCCTAACACAAAGGCTGTACAGAAACAGGCCGTAGGCTGCATTTGGCCCACGGGCTGTAGTTTGCCAACTGCCCTAGAGGTTCAGCGTGCACCATTGTGGCAGCAGGACTGTATTCACAGAAAGCTTACCTCACTCAGGGCCTGGCACACGGTTAAGCAAATGATGAACCACATCCCTCCAAGGAAGGAGCATTTGTCCCATTTTACAGATGCAGAAAGAGAGGCCCAGAGAGACTGGGAGACGGGGTCATGGCCACACAGTGGGTGGGTGGCAGGGCTGGGAATCACCCCCTTTCCTATATCACACTCCTCCCTGCCCACCCTGTCCCTGAGCCTACCTGGGTGTGGATGTGGCACGCAGGGGCCACCCAGGTCCACGCGGCCACTTGCCATCTGCTGCAGCCGAGGCACATCTACCGCCGTGAGCCACGACAGCGACTGCAGGTCCCCGGGGAGGTCGTCATCGCTGGTGGTGGCTAGAAGCCTGAAGAGAGGAGCAGAGAGCTCTGGCGGGAGGGCGAGCTTAGGCCAGCTCCTGGGGGTGCGTCCTGACCTCTGGAAGCATCCGCTTAATGTGCCTCATCTCCCCAACCCACGCCAGCCCTCCAACCTGCCCATCCCCAGGACTGGGCACGGGAACCTGGTCCCAGATCCCTTTTGGTGGCCAGATCTTTCATCCTCATCCTTCCTTTCTTCGCCCACTTAACACATCCTACTTAGCACCTACCACAAAAACAATACACGCAAATGTTTGTTGAGGACTTACTATGTGCCAGGCAGCGGTCAAGACTTTTTACACTCCCAGTCACCCTGTGAGGCAGGTATTATTATTCCTATTTTGCAGATGGGGAAACTGAGGCACAGTTGGAGCTTACCTACTATGGGACACTACAGCACAGAGCAGTCAGGGCCTGTGGCCAGGGTCCCACCTGCCAGGACAGGATCAGGCTCCCGACTCCATGTCCAGGGCAGTTGCCTGCTGTGCAGTAGCTGTGAGGAACATGGAACTTGGGAACAGTCTGCGTGGATGATCCTGCCATGTGCTGCGGCAGCTGAGTGCCCGCTACCTGCCGGGCCCTGGACTCAGCATTCGACAAGCACTATCCTGCACAATTCCCACAGCTGCTGCTGTGAGATGTAGGGTGGGCCCATACTCCCAATGTACAGATGAGAAAACTGAGGCTCGAAGCACTGAGTCACCACCCAAGACGACACAGAACAGGAGGTGGTGGGGCTGAGACCCAGTCAGTGCCTCCTGAAGCCTGAGCCCTTCACGTCGACCCCTGGTGGCCCCGGGACGTTCCAGTTGGGACCCACGCCCACCAGCCGCAACAGATTCATGGGCAAAACATCGCTTGTTGTGGATGTAGGATAGCTGCCCACGGAGGTGCCAGACAGGTTGGTGATCTGGGATAGCCATGTCATTCCCCAGTGCCCTGAAGTCACACTTGCCATGCGACTCCAAGAGCACCGGGTCTTACACCACCATCTGGGCCCTGTCGTGACAGTGCAGAGACCAGCCCAGGAGCACACGCCAGACCCCACATCTGCCACCCCTGCGGCCAGGAGCTTTCTGTGTCACCACCAAGAGGCCCACAGTCTAAATTCTAAGCTCCATGTTTCAAAAATAGCCTCATAGATTGAGTAGAGAGAGGCGGGACACCGACCCATCCTGCCCTGGTTTTCTGCGCCTCTCAGAGGCTCCAGCGAGGCCCGGCCCCTTCCCTCCCTCTATCTGCTTGGCCAGCTCAGCCTCACATTCTCCCTCTCCCTCCTCCTCCCTCTCTGTCTCTCTCTCTCTGCTCCTCCCCATCTCTCCCCTCTTGTGTTTTAGGGCCACAATTAGCGTTGCCATGGCCACACTGCTCAGTTGTCACAGGGCCCGGGCCCTGGGCCCACGAAGCTGGCATCAGGTGACTGCCTGGCTGCCCCCGCGATTGGCTGCCTCATAGGGAAACAGGGCCTGGAAACGATTTGAAAACGCGGCCTGCCGTGTCAGTGGCAGCAGTTGGCCCGGCTGCTGTCCCCCGGCATCCCATTGTGTGACAAACGACTGTTGCCCCTGTGGCACGTGGCCCCCATTGTCCCAGGGTCTCAGTGCAATTGTTCCTGCGGCCCCCCGGCTGCCACCCCTCCAGCCTGCTCGTAACTCATCTGGCTAAGTGACAGCCACGGCCTGGGCCTGGGTGATACCATCTGTCCCCTCAAGCCCTGGGAGACCATGGGGTAAAGTGCAGGGGCAGGGCCTGGTGTGCCACCTGCTGTTGGGGGTGCTGGCTAGTCCCCACCCTCCCTTCCTCACCCACTGGCCAGCCAACCTCCTGGCACCTGGTGGTACAAGCCATGCTCCTGTTCAGTAACCTGCTGTGACTCCCCACTGCCCTGGCCGCTCTGCTTGGCACTGCAGTAACAAGGAGAAGTGGAGATGGGCCCCTGCTGGCAGGTTTAGCAAGGTGGCTGCCCTCCAAAGCTCCCTGAGTGAGGGGCTGTAAATAAACTAGGTTCCTAGGTGCCACTGTGGGGCAGAATCTCTGGCAGCAGGTAAACCTAACAGCAGTACCCGTGGTGGTTAAATGCTTGGGCTCTGGATTCTAATCCTGGTTTCCACTTGCCTGTGTGCCCTTGGGCCACTGGCTTAACCTCTCTGAGCCTCAGTTTCTTATCTGTATAACGGGGATAACAATAGCTCTTTTCTCATAGGGTGTCATAAGAAATATGTAATTGTATGTAAAGCACTTGGAAGAGTGGCTCATAGCAAATGTAATAAGAATATTTAGCTGCTATTAATATTAACACCAACATTAATGTTCATATTAATATTCACCAGGTCGCCAGGGGGCTAGAAGTACATTGAAGCTTTGGGATCTGGGGGTCACATCGACATGCCCTGGCCACAGCTACCACTAAACACTTCCCTGTAAGGAGCACTGCCTGTGTGCCAGGCCCTGGTTTTACACTGGCCCCATTGTACAGATGAAGAAACACAGGACTGAGTGGTCACTTCAGTGCTGTCAGCCTGTCTCCCCACAGAGTGAGGATTACACGAAGTCAGGTATAAAGGGCGTAGCACACGGCTGAGCATCTAGTTGGGCTGAGTCAATGGTGCTATCCTGATGCTTCTCTTTCCTGCTACTTGTGAGCCCCTCTGGCTCCCCCTTCCTGCAGCCCCCACTCCTCCTGCAGCCCCCACTCCTCCTGCAGTCCCCACTCCTCCTGCAGCCCCCAGCAGACCCAGGCAGGGCTCGCGCCTCTGCGTTTGCCGTTGCTCTTGCAGGAATGATGCCCTTTCCGCCTCCTCCCCGGCACCCATGCCCACCCCTGGAGGCTCACTGCAAAGTCTGACTTCTGGCCTCTTCACCCCAGACATCCCACAGACATCACTGGACCCCACCTCTTATTTTACCTCTGGGAAGCAGAGATTGGTTTGCTCCCAATGTCACAGTATGGAAAAGGACCAGGGCTGGGGTCCTGACTCCCCATGCAGGCTCCTGCTACCCCGAGAGCAGCACCTCCGCTGGGAAGCCTTTGCCACCCAGACCCCAAGCACAGGACCCACTCTGCACCCTGACTGCTCTCTACGCTTCACCAGGACCAGCGAGTCCTGCACTGTCTGGGTCTCTGCCCCATACCCCGCCTTCTGGCTCACTGAGTGTTGGCCCCAAGCCCCATATTGCCCCATGTCCTTGCACACAGTGGGTGCCTTTTTTTTTTTTTTTTTTTTTTTTGAGATGGAGTCTTGCTCTGTCACCCAGGCTGGAGTGCAGTGGCACAATCTTGGCTCACCGCAACCTCCGCCTCCTGGGTTTAAGCGATTCTCCTGCCTCAGCCTCTTGACTAGCTGGGATTACAGGTGCGTGCCACCATGCCGGGCAATTTTTTGTATTTTTAGTAGAGATTGGGTTTCACCATGTTGGTCAGGCTGGTGTTGAACTCCTGACCTCGTGATCTGCCTCCCTTGGCCTCCCAAAGTGGGTGCCCTTTAAATGCCTGCTTGGCTGGTTGAAAAAAGACTGACCGCAGGCCACCAGCGCTGAGAGTTTGTGTGACAGTGACGGTCACATCCAGCCCTTTTGAACTGACAGAGTTGTCTTCTGCCTCCTCAGGTCCTTGTCACAGCCCCAGGACAGGGACAGAGAGTAGGCAGCCCCACTTCACAGATGGGGAAGCTGAAGCCAGCCCAGTAAAAGAAAAATCCCTTTGTTAATAAGCGAGGCAGTCAGAACTCGAACCCGGGTCTGTCTGCATGCCTCAGATTGTTCCTGTGGCGCTACAGGTGGAGATCAGACATCTTCTGGGGGAGATGCCCCACCCTGGGTCCCAGGCTCTCACTTGGGGCTGTGCAAACCGGCATCTCCCAGAGAGCCAGTTAAAATGCAGAGTTGGGGACCCAGCTCAGACCCTGAAGCCCCACCCTTGGGACTTCCAGCTATGCTCTGGGGGAAGGACAGCCCACAGGGGGCATGGCCAAAGCTCAGGCCTTGACTGGACAGACCTGGGTTCAAGTCCTTGTGACCCCTGAGCTGCATGACCTTGGATAAGTCACTGCAGGTCCCCGGGGCTCCGCTCCCTGGCTGTCATAGGATCAGATGAGCCGCTGTGTGATTGACTTTTGGCACAGGTGCAGTCCCCATCTCCCTTCTCAGGGGTTTGTGTACATGCTTGGGGTTGATGGCCAGGCCCCTGCTTCCCCACTGCCCCAGGCATCCCAAAGGTGGTCTGGTCCTCTCTTGTGCCCACTGCCCATGCCGGAATGTCCGCCTCAGTACACCTGACAGGTGGCCCCAGCCAGCACCCTGGACACCTGCAGTGGCTGTGGGCACCAGGAGCACTGTGGTGGCAGTCCCTGGCTCCGCAGCCTGGCTAGCTTCCCACTGTTTCTTAGAGTCTGTCTGGCATTCAGGCATGTCTTCTGCGTGCATGGCAAGGGCCAGGGGCTGACGCACCAGGGCCTACCTGAGAATGTCCCATCCCCCAATCACCTGACCACTCTGACCTCTGTCCCCTGCAGAAAGGTCAGCACGCCCCCCTCTCCACAGTGGCATGCGAAGCCCCCTCCACACCTCTCCCTCATCGGTGCCTGAAGTTCCCTCATTAAAGGCGTCCCCATGTGCCCTCGCCTCGCTCTCTCCCGGTGCCTCATTTGAGACGGTGTAAACTACAGGGCCCACAGCAGCTGTAACTCAGGAAAGACTCCTTGGTTCTGAAACCACCCATTCTGGCTTCTCAGCCACAGGCCCTGGGGAGGGCACTTTATCACCAGCCTCAGGTTCCCACCTGTAAAATGGGCGTGAGTGATAACAGTCATAGCCGCAATGCCTCCTACCCCCAGGCTGGCACAGTGGTGTGGAGGCAGAGTGGCTTTGTGATCCACCCTGCCATCTTAGAGGGCTTGGAATATTCCCTGGTGTGTGTGTGACAGAGACAGCCACACACAGAGACCCTGCATCAACCTCCTAAGTTTCCCGTCTACTGGAAAATAACAGG